CTAATTAAGGGCTGATTAGCGATGACTAGTCAGGAGTACAGCTGCAGGACAAGAGCAGCGTTTGCAGCAGCCCCGCACGCACCGAGCCTGAGCCCACGCGAGACCCAGACAGCCCCGGGCTGCGCCGGAGCTTGGGGGGATGAGGGGCTGCAGCAGGACGGGCGGCAGCTCTCCTTGTGCAAGCCGCGTTCCACCTCCCCGGGCTGTTTCCCCAGCCAAGAAATCTGTCCTAAATGCTTTGCTCGGCTTAGCAAACCAGCAAGGTGTCCCCTCAGACCTGCGCGTCCCTGGCCGGCGCTGGCTGCTGGGGAGGGAAGAGTGGGAGAATGGCAGAGCCCGGGCGCTGCCTGGAGCCACCTCGGCGCCCGCGTTTCACCCTGGAGTGACGCGCTGGCAGGTGGAGGAGGAACTGGGCAGGCCCGGGGGGACCCTCCTCAGCCTCTCCTCCCTGCCCTCCTGCACGGCATCAGCCGGACCCGCTCGGACCAATGCAGCCACTTTCTGGAAAGGAAACAGCCTCTTCCCACTTATCTCCAGTCAAAGGAGGACCGGGGGCTCCTGGGCACACACGTGGGTGCTGAGAGCCTCGGGGCGCCCCGAGTGTCGTGGCGGGGATGGGGAGAAGGGCCCGAGCCGCCTGTCCCGCTCCCCATGGCTCCTCGGGCTTGGAAACGCAACCAGCTCCCGGACCTCGCCGCCATCCCCGCAGCACCAGCGGCCCCATGCAAACCCCGACGGCACCCGGGTCGCTCCCGATCCCCGCGCTCGTGTGGAACTTTCCTGACAACAGGAACAGAGCGGCATCGCTGCCTCCCAGGGCGGCCAAGCCCCCCCAGCCCGTTGGGCGGCTGCTCACAGACCCCCCGGCCGAGCCGAAACGTGCCCCGTCGCTCTCGGGGCGAGCACAAAGCCGCCGAGTTCCTGTTTGTGTCCGGGGCCTCGGTCCTGCTGGGGCCGGTACCTGCGCGCGGGGCCACCAGCGCCGGGCTTGTTGTTGTGAGACCCGACTTATCAGTGCCCTCGTGCTTCCCCGCTCCGGCCGTGCCTTCCTTCCGAGCTGATTGTTGATCACAAAGTCTTGTCTGTGCTTGAAAAGGAGATTTCCTGCAATTGTTTTGCAGGACTTGCAGTCTGATGCAAAATTTTCTGCCTATCAGCCCCCTTCCCAGTGCCGGGGCAAGGCTCGAGCCCCCTCCCTTCCCCTGCAAAGCTGCCAGGCCATCACAGCTCGGTGATTAATTGCTGCCCGGCCAGAGGCGTTTCTGCGGCGATAACCATCTGCCATCAACTGCTGCCACAGCTCGGAGCGATGGCCAGCACCGCCCTGGCAGAGAGGTTCAGCTTTCAGCCCTTTCCCCCCAAAAAGAAGCCCCGTGCTCTCCCCGGCAGCGTGTGAGGGTCAGGGACAGTCGGTGGCACGTTTGCCTCGACCCACCCCAAGCCCCGGGACCGCCAGCGCCGGGGCAGGGCCCGGCTCAGCCGGATCCATCCTGGGGGGACCTGGGCAGGATCCAGCCCCGGAGACCAGCGGGGCCACAGCACTGGGGTCCCTCGGGAGTGACGTGAAGGGGACCAGGGGAGCCCCGAGGGGCCCCGCTCCTCCCTCAGGCACCCGCAGCTTCGCCACCGACACCTGCCTGGGGCCTCCCCGTGCCCATCCCCAGCCCCGCAGCAAAATCAAACGGGAGCCGAGACCCGGGGCTGGAAATCGAGTCAAAAGTCCCCGGCGCTGGGCTGTCTCAGGATGTCGGACCACGATGGTCATTTCCTGCTGGGAAGCCGCCAACAAGCCCACCCCGAACTCCGCGCTGCCGCCGCGGCTCTGCCTTCCCAGAGGCGTGTGAGCCGCGCAGCGAGAGGATCGCCGCGTTCCCGGAGCCGCCCCGCCGCGCAGCCTTCGGCTCTGCCGCC